AGATGGCAATGAGTTTGAGTCTTGTACTCCTTGATCTATAAAGTCTCTTATGCATTGGCATCGATTAGATGGCAATGAGTTTGAGTCTTGTACTCACTCCTTCAAACACAATGCCATCGAGTCGATTTCGATCCCTGACTCTAATTTGGTATGTGTTTGACAATTGCCATTCAACCAAATTAACATACACATTGGAGCTATTAAACTGGAAGAGTTTAATATAAACTCCAAAGTATAATAGTGGTTACTTCTGGAGAGGAGGGAGGGACCAACATTTGGGGTGCGGTCAATGGACCTTAATTTTTCCTCGCTTTCTTTTTGGCAAAGAAAAGCATATTCATGTCTCCCAAATCCCAGCTCCCTGCCGTCAAGCCAATGCTAAGTAGGTAAAATAAATTTGTGGTGAAAATATGCAGAACAATACATCACTATCAATTTCCTTTTTAAAAAAATATAGTTTTATTGGCATATACTGCACATATAATACAATTTAGTCATTCAGTCTTATTAAGAAGACTTGGACAATCTTCATCATTATCAATTTCAGAATATTTACCCCTTTTTTTGAATGTACAAAATTAATGTTTATTCCACCTTGTTTTTATTTAGTCATTTTATTGGGGCCTCATACAACTCTTATCGTAATATATACATACATCCTTGTGTCAAGCACATTTGTATATTTGTTGCCATCATTGTGGGGAGAGGAGGAGTCCCCCACAAATCATCACAGGTCCGGTAGGCGCAATTGTACAGCGATAATAAGTAACGATTATAGTAAAGTCATAGAGAGCATGAGAGGTAGAGGAGAGATTGAAGTAATGGAGTCAGACACAATTCATGATAGCATGCTCACCTCAGCCCCGCTTGGTGGTCCTCATGGGGGGATCCCAGCCCTGAGAGCAGGAGGGTGCCTCGGGAGCGAGGATGGGGAGAGCCTCCACTTTATTGCTAACCAATCGTTATATCTCATTAGGGGGACATGATTACAGATAACCACACGTCACAGGAAGGGGCAGTACAATAGGCATACACATTGTAGGGAGGATTCTATGATAGGCATAAGGGTGACAGGAAGGGGATGAGCTAGGGGTGTGCCCATAGGAACGGGAAGGTCTAGGAGTATACATGTGACAAGATGGGCGGACCCTAGATTCATGATGGCAGCCTAACCTTGGTCATCCTTGGGCGGGTCTGACCTCTCTGATGTCTCCTACAAGGAAACAGACAACTACTATCCTTATCAGAAGGGAGTGGGCCCTACTTGTGGGATAAACAGTGGTGTCTGCTTGCTCTAGATGGCTGCTCTTGATGACCTCCAAGTGTACAGTCATTCGCAAGCAGCTAAGGTTGACATCTATTTGGGGGAGACAACTTGGGAGAAATCCTTCAGCTTCCCATACATCATTTTCAAAACATTTTCTACTTTATTTTTTCATGTCTTACACTGACCGATGTCTCCCTTCACCCATGCTTCTGTTGTCCGTCCCCCAGGGAGAGGGTCAGATGTAAATCATTGTGATCAGTTCCCTCAGAATATTTTCTTTTCGTGCTTGTTGTTAGCTCCCCGTTTGTCTCCCAAACCCCTGGACAACTATCAATCCTGTTGCTTACTGTTTCTATAGATCTACCTATCCTGGATTTCATATACAGAAAATCATACAAAACACCAACAGGAAGTAAACAAAAGCCAACAACAATGACTAGACAAAACCTAGAAAACCTCAATCAAAAATAAAGCAGAAAATATTAAGAAATGAAACAACTTCTAAATGGATCAAAAGGGAGAGCAAATGATAGCCTAAATACATCTGCCATAATCAACTTTACAGCGCTCTGTGTCTGATAGCCAGGTTACTCACAAAACTGGACTATGGTTGGAGGTGTAGTCACTAGAGACAATCCATGTAGGGACCCTGCAAATGAATTTTGGACTTTCACTGTCATCTGTAACCTTCTGTAAATGCAATGTAAGCTCTGATAGCATTCCCTCCTTGGGATCTGGATTTTATTGGTATAAAATCCATGGCTGGTGTGCTTCTTCCATGTGGTCTTAGTTGATGCTTTACTTAGATAACTGCTTGTTTGAAGATTAGCCTTTAAGACCCCAGACACTTATCTTTTTAAAATTGTTATTATTTAATCATTTTATTAGGAGCTTATGTGCTTGACATCCATCCATTGTATGTCAAGCACATTTGTACTTTTGTTGCCATCATCATCGTCAAAACATTTGCTTTCTACTTGAGCCCTTGGTATCAGCTCCTCATTTTTCCCCTCCCTGCTTCCCCCTCCCTCATGAACGCTTGATAATTTATAAATTATTATTTTGTCATATCTTACACTCAGACACTTATCTTTTCTGACAGCCAGGCACCATCTGGTTTCTTTACCACACTTTGCTATAACACTCATATCTTAGTAATATGAGCGATCTCTTCAAGAGGTTGTGCAACAAGTAGAGGAGCCACTCATATTACTTAGATTGGGGCTAGAATTAAGTGTGAACCCCAAAGTCATTCATGTATTTATGGCTTTTCCATGTCTCTAGTTCGCTTATGAGATATCATTATCATTTTATGTTAGAGAACATTATCAATCATCCTCCTGGGATATAAGGTGATTCTATTGATTAGTAATTTAGCCAATGATACAGAATTTCAAACACTGTTGAGAAGACAAAATTATACATATGTAGGCCAGCTTCAGACTGTAATACATGAATTATTGACTTGTACAGATTAAACTCATCAGTGACTGGGCACTATTTACACAAATAATGGGAGCTAGCAAGAGGGCAACATTGTTAGTAATGCTTATTCATAAAGCCGGAAACCATGCCTACCAGACTAATACATGGCATAAGAAAGCAGGGAGAGTATTAAAATAATAACTATATGGTAGTCCTAGGCCATCATTCTTTGGGTACCTTCAAAGCAAGAGATTCAAGCCAACGCCCAGTGACCGCTGATTCTACAACGTTGGGGTAGTAGTCATCTGCTCCTTCTCACACTAGGGTGTTTCACCCTTGAGTATGTTGGTTCCTTACATCTACTACAGGTAAGTTTAAGGTTAAGTCCGCCTCACTTAGTGGGGTTTTTCAACAATTCAGTAACATTGATTATGCCCCCTAGGGATCCCGGTGGCATAGTGGTCACACGTTGGACTGCAATCCTCATGGTCACCCAAACTATGCAGCTCCTTAGGAGAAAGGCTGGGCTATCTACTCCTGTAAACAGTTACAGTCTCAATCTCAGAAGCTCTCAGGGGGTTGCTATGAGTCAACATTGGCTCAATGGCAGTGAGGTGTTTTACTTGTTTGCTTGAGTGCTCCCTAAGCAAAAACTCCCTCCCAATCCCTGATGACATCTAATGTGGGAAACAGAAAGATTTCTCCCAAGTCGTCTCCCCCAAATATGTTAGACTTAGGACACCACTTGCAGCTAATGGTAAATAATTGACAAGTTACTTCACTGTAGGCAGTCAGCTGCCAGACTACTGTCTCTTCCCACCATGGTTAGGCCTGCTCCCTGCTACTAAGAACAATGGGCTACTTCTCCCTAAAGGCTTGCAGTTATTTGGTTCCTGTAGGTGGACTTCACACCCTACTGATAATGATCTCTATAGTTGAGCCAGGGAACAGGTCAAACCGGCTCAGGATCAGTGACATCCAAAGTTAGGCCGCTGTCCTGAATCTAGAATCTGCCCATCTTGCCACATGTATGCCCCCAATCACTCCTCTTCCTATTGCGTGTATAATACCCCTAGATCACCCCACTCCCATTACTGTGACAGATGTCTTCACCTATATAGCATAACCCTTTCCTGTGACGTATGTCTTCACCTGTCACTGGGGGGCTTGCATGTCCCCAGAGACTATAAAAGCCTTGGTTAGCATTAAAAATCTCTCTCTCTCCACGTGAACCACCAAGTGAGGCTGAGGTGAGCATTGCTACCATGAAATGTGTCTGACTCCATTATTTCAATCTCTCTTCTATTTCTCATGCTCTCGATGACTTTACTATAATCTTTACTTATTATCACTGTATAATTGCGCCTACTGGACCCGTGATGATGTGTTAGGGGCTGGATTACCCTGACAATCTAATAATCTTTGTTTTCCATGTTTGTTTATGTCATATAAGTAAGACTATACAGTATGTGTCTTTTGTAACTGATACAAGGTCAGCAGTTCAAAACCTCTAGTTGTTCCATGGGAGAAAGACGAGGCTTTCCGCTCCCCCAGAGAGTTGCAGTCTTAGACACCCACCAGGTCCGTTCTACCCTGTCCTATAGGACCTCCATGAATCGGCATCAACTTAATGCCAGTGGATTGTGTTTTGTTTTCACTCAGCAGGGTGTTTCCAACATCTTGCTATTGTGAACAGTGCTGCGATGGACATGGGCGTGCATATGTCACTTGTGTTTTGGCTCTTACTTTTGTAGGGTGTAGACCCAGTTGAGGTATTATTGCTGGATTATTTAGGATTTCTATTTCAATGGTTTTAGGTCCCACCATATTGATTTCTGCAGTGGTTGTACATGTAATTAACAATTTTTACATTAGCAGCAAGGAATCACAAAACGGTGGATGATTTGATCCAGTATTTCCCAAAGTGGATGATACCCAGTCTTCAGGGAGCTGGGGGCTGGAACAATCCTGAGGTGGGGGTGGGGGGGCTGGGTGGGGAATGCGTGCTGCAAAAACAAATTCCTACACTTTATCCTGGATTATGGGCTATCATACAAACGTGTTTGCTTGTTTGCTTTTTCATACAAATGTTTTTAGTTGTCAGTGAAATGCAGAGTGGTTTTTTTTTTCTTCATGAAAAGGAGGCCGTAGGCCAAAGTTTAGGAACCTATGATTTAGTCCGTCCAGTTTCCCAATGAAACATGTATCCGCAGACTCCAAATGGCACAATGGGAGATGCTGCAGAATCTCAACAACCCATTTTTGGAGAAGCTTCACCAGCTGTACTCGGATAGCCCCCTGCCAATGGACATTCGACAGCACTTGGCCAGCTGGATTGAAGATCAGAACTGGTGAGGCCTTCAGGCAATTGGGAGTCGGTTGGGAATGGTAGTTTCTTTCTCCAGAGTCCCCAGGACAGCAGGAGCCTTTGCTGGGACATTAATATTGGCCCTTGCTGGTCCCCAGGCAGGAGGCTGTCCTGAGCAGCGATGATTCCAAGGCTAAGATGCTCTTCTTCCACTTCTTGGACCAACTCAGCTGTGAATATAGCCCCTACAGACAGGACCCTGAGTTCTTGCTGCTGCAGCACAACTTGCGAAAATTTGCCCGGGACATTCAGGTATTTTAAAAGCTGAGGCAGGAGTGGGATCGCAGTATAGTGGTAAACGGGTTGAAATATGGAGCAGAAACTGGAGGTCCAAAGGCAGGGGGGTTGATCTGAGAGGAGGAGGCAGAGCTTGGAATGCAGCCAGTGGCAGAAGGAAAGGTGACAGCCTACGGGGGTGGGGCGGGGAACCAGGGTCGGGGGCCCACTGGTGAAAGAGGAAAGGTCTAGATACTCTGAAGGAGGGAGAGATACAGAGGGGCCGCTGGTGGGAGACTCCGAGGTGGTGGGTCATTGGGAGTCATTGAATCCGTTTCCTTTCCCTCCTTCAGGCATATTCCAATGGCCCTGCCCAGTTGGCTGAGCTGCTCTTTAATCTTCTTCTGGAAGAAAAAAGAATTCTGGCATGGGCTCAGAAGGCTCAGTTGGTGAGGAAAGTGTGGTGGTCACCTAGGCAGTTCCTGGGCAGAAAGAGCCATGGGAAGTGTGAGGGAATGTGTCTCCGAAGAGGGTTCACCGCATCCCATATTGGAAACTTAGGCCTGTGGGGGGAAGGCCAGCCCCCAACAACTAATCGCGGGTTCGATAGGCGCAATTGTACGGTTGAGATATATACAGATTATAATAAAGCCATAGAGAGCATGAGAGATAGAAGAGATTGAAATAATGGAGTCAGACACATTTCATGGTAGCGTGCTCACCTCACCCCGCTTGGTGGTCCACACAGAGATGGGAGACTGGAGGGCAAGAGAGAGGGGTAGGGGAAGGACAAGCGGAAAGGGAGCAGGGGAGAGAGGATGGGAAGAGGGGAGAGAGGCCGAGGAAATCTTTATTGCTAACCAAGGTTTATACATCTTGGGGGGCATGCAAGCCCACTAATTACCGTTAAAGGCATACATCTTGGGAAGGGGTTATACTATAGGTAATACAGCAATGAGAGGGAGACAATCTAGGGATATACTCACAATAGGAAGAGTAGGGATTGGGGTATACATGTGACAAGAAGGGCGGATCCTAGATTCATGATGGCTTAACTTTGGATGTCACTGAGCAGGTTTGACCTGTTCTCTGGCTCTCCATGGAAACCACCCTAGGGGGACCAGACTAATGGTCCCAAGCTTTTAGGGAGAAGTAGCCCATTGTCCTTAACATAAGGGAGGGGACTCCACCTGTGGTGGGCCCAAACAGTAGTCTGGCAACTGACTGCCTTCAGGGAGGTAACTTGATGATCATTTACCATTAGCTGCAAGGGGTGTCCTAAGTCTAACATATATTTGGGGGAGACGACTTGGGAGAAATCATTCTGTTTCCCACATAGGCCTTGATCTCAGAGATGAAAAGTCAGAGCTAGAATGTGCTAAACCACACAAAAGGCAGCGACATAAGCCCAGCTGTGGAGGAGCCGGTTCTGACTTCCGGTGGCACACACGCACAGAGTAGAACCGTGCTCCACAGAGCCTTCTGGAAACAGACTGCCAGGTGCCAGGTCTCCAAGGCACCTCTGGGTGGATTTGCAACCTTTTGGTTCGTAATAGAGTACTAAGCCTTTTGTGCCACCACGCGGCTCCAAAATGTACTCAAGAGCCCCTTATTTCAGGACCAAAGGGAGCCAGCCCTCAGCCCACCTGTGGAGAGCCAGCAGCATGAGATTGAATCCCGGATCTTGGAATTAAGGACGATGATGGAGGTTGGTAGAGAGGAAAGAGGGGGTAAGGAGGGCTCGACCCCATTTGCTCCCACAGAAGCAGCCTCACCTGGGTCCTGTCCCCTCTGCAGAAGCTAGTGAAGTCCATCAACCAACTTAAAGACCAGCAGGATGTCTTCTGCTTCCGGTACAACATCCAGAGCTTGGGTAGGAAGCACACAGAGGAGTGGGGAAAAAGATGGGTGCCTGCTGGGAGGCCCAGGGTGGAAGAGAAGAGAAGGGAAGAGCTCCTGGAAATGTGCTGGCTACAATCGAGAGCTGCCATGCAAATGTAAAGTGCCAGGGTATGTGGGGTGCCAGTAGTGGAGGAGAGGCATAGAAACCACCTTAGCTGGTTTAGTGGGCATCTGCTCCAACCCTAGAAGTGCCTGTGCTTTGCTTGGTTTCTCCTCCTTCTCCCTCCAAAATCCACCCCCACGCCCCACTCCCGCTAGCCTGGCCTGGCCTGACTCTGACTGAGTTGGACGAGGCTCCAGTCGGGAAGGGGAGGGATCCCAGGCCTGGGTCCAAGCACTGGTTTGACTCCTGCTTTCTGCCATCCAGTGAAGACATCCTCTTTGAACCCCCATCACAACAAACAGAAGCAGATTCTACAGGAAACGATCAATGAAGTGGACAAAAGGAGGAAGGTAGGAGGCCAGGGACAGAGGGCATGGGATGCAGGGTACTGGGGAAATGAGGGTAGGTCCCGGGGAGATGGTGAGAAGTGCTCAGCACTCACGGTCCCCCCTCCCCAGGAGGTGCTGGATGACTCCAAAACCCTGCTGGGCCGGCTCACCACCCTGGTGGATCTGCTGCTGCCCAAGCTGAAGGAATGGCAGGACCAGCAGCGACAAGCTTGCATTGGCGGCCCACGCCCGAAACACTCTTTAGAGGAGCTGGAGAAATGGTGAGAGGTCCCCCCCACCCCCAGGCTCGCTCCAGGGCGGCTACCGCCCTGGGCTTTGTAAATTGTCATGTTCTGTATCCATCAAGAAGCCCTGGCAGCACAGTGGTTATCAATGGGGCTGTGGTTTGTAGGTCAGCAGTTCGAAACCACCAGCCTCTCTGAGGGAGAAAGACAGGCTTTCTGTTCCCATAAATGGTTACAGGATCCAACACCCACAGCAGCAGTTCTACCCTGTCTCCGCTTAGGGTCTGAATCGGCCTGCACTCAATGACAGTCAGGATCCGCTGAGAGCGCATCGCCTTCATCAGTCTCCGCCTCTCAGAACAGCAGCCCACGGCCCTGTCTGACTGCTGCTGTCCCTCCGCAGCTTCTTCCTCACCCCAGGAGCCCAGAGCCCACTTAGTGAAAGAGACGTTAACTCACAATTTGGTTTCTCTGCCTTTTTTTTAACCATCTGAGGGTTTCTACTTGTTTTTGTTTTTTACTACAGTGAATATATATATATATATATTTAAAACCCTGTTATCCTACTACTCAAGATATAGTTACTGTAATATTACCAAGAATTATATTTTGCTGTTTATACCACTTGGAAATCTATGTTTTGTTTTTCACTTAAAAACATATCGTAATGTTTTCCCATGTTCTTTTTAGCAGCTATATAGTTGTCCCCTATATATAGAAGTAAGGTAGCTTAAATAATGAACTCCTATGTGTGGGCATTTAGGTTATCTTCAATTTCTTGCCATTTTCCCCCAATAAACTATTTTGTTAGTTTTATTGTGACTTGGGGAAACTGTCTTTGAGCAACTAAAAAAAATGTATTCTTCCAAATATTTTCCTATGAGAAAATTCATCATAATTTAAGCAAAAAACCCCCATTACAATTGTAAATTTAAAAGCAAGTGTGGGTAAACAAGCGGCCATATAACTGAGAAGTAGCATAGCCCACATGGAAGAAGCACGCCAGCCTGTGTGATCATAAGGTGTTGATGGGATCAGGTATCAGGCAACAAAGACCCGGATAAATGTGAATGGGGGGGAGTGTGGAATGGAGACCCAAAGCCCATCCATAGATAGTTGAACATTCTCTTACAAAAGGGTCACAAGGAAGAGACAAACCAGTCAGGCTGCAGTATAGCACTGATGAAACAACTTTCCTCTAGTTCTTTAATGCTTATCCACTATCATGACCCCAATTCTACCTTACAAATCTGGCTAGACTGGAGGATGTACATGGGTACAGATAAGACCTGGAAATACAGGGAATACAGGACAGATAAACCCCTCAGAACTGATATTGAGAGTAGTGATACCAGGAGGGGAAGGGGAAGGTGTGGGGAGAAAGCGGGAACCAATCACAATGATCTACATATAACCCCTTGCCAGGGGGTGGACAACAGAAAAAGTGGATGAAGGGAGACATCAGTCAATGTATAATAGTTTATCAATTATCAAGGGTTCATGGGGGGGAGTGGGGGAGGAAGGGAAAAAATGAGTTGATACCAAGGGCTCAGATGTTAATTTTTTTTTTAAAACATTTTATTAGGGGCTCATACAACTGTTATCGCAGTCCATACACACATCAATTGTGTAAAGCGCATTTGTACATCATTCTCAAAAACATTTTCTCTCCACTTAAACCCCCGACATTAGGTCCTCATTTTTCCCCTCCCTCCCCGCTCCCCCCTCAGATGGTAATTTAAAAATGATGATGGCAACAAATGTTCAAATGTGCTTGACACAATGGATGGATGCATCGATTGTGATGAGAACTGTATGAACCCCCAATAAAATGATTAAAAAAAGAAAAAGAAAGTGTTTAGGACTTAAGATTAACCTTTATTTATTTTTTAAATATATATTTTTTAATCATTTTATTGGGGCTCATACAATTCATCACAATACATAGATCAATTGTGTAAAGCACACTTATACATTTGTTGCCCTCATCATTCCCAGAATTCGCTTTCCTCTTGGGTTCCTGGAATTAGCTCATTTTCCTTTTTTCCCCTCCTCCTCCCTCCTTCCCCACTCCCCCCTCCCTCATGAACCCGGTGTCTCCCTTCACCCACCCTTCTGTTGCCCATCCCCCAGAGAGGAGGTTATATGTAGATCCTTGTGATCAATTCCTCCTTTCTACCCACCCCTCTTCCCTCCCGGTGTCACCACTGTCATCTCTGGTCCTGAGGGGTTCATCTGTCCTTTAAAAATATTTTTATTGGCATATAGTTAATATGTCATATAATCTAATCATACAATCATATTAAGAAGAGTTGTGCAGTGTGTTAGACAGGGTTCTCTAGAGAAACAAAATAAACCTACCTATCACATGCAGTCATCATCACAATCAATTCAGAGCATACTCTAGTCATACTCCATGTTGTTAGCTCCCTACTTCTCCCCAACCTCCCCACCATGACTGTAAGGCAGTTACTGTTTCTATAGATAGACTTAGCCTAGATTTCATGTACAGGAAATCATGCAACACAAACCAAAAGACAATAACAATAAAACAGGAAAAAAAAACTCAATAAAAAAGCAGAAAATATTAAAAACTGAAACAACTTTAAACTCAAAGGGAAATCAAATTATAAGTTGTTCCATTTTAACCAAACTTCATCTTCTAGAATTGACTTTGCAATGCTCACTGTTGGATAGCAAGGCCATTCACGTCCCTGGACTGTGGTCAGAAGGGATTCGCCAGAGTCTTCATCAATGTGGGAACTCTGCAAATGGATTTTATGTTTCACTATCATTCATAAAACACCAAACCCAAACTCACTGCCATCGTGTTGATGCTGATGCCTAGTGACCCTGTAGGGTAGGGTACAACTGTCCCGTGAGTTTCTGAGACGGTAATTGTTTATGGAAGTAGAACCCCCATGTTTCTCCCTCGGAGCTGCTGGTGACCCTTCAGATTGCAACCCAACGCGTAACCACTCCACCACCAGGGCTCCTCTGTCTTCCATAGCCTTCTGCAAACCGCTCTTTAGAATTTAGGCTCTGATACTATTCCATCCTTTGGATTTGGGTTTTATTATTTACAATACTTGGATCACACAGAGTGGAGTGCTTCTTCCATGTGAACTAGGAAAAACCCCAGCAGTGTCTTAGGGTGTTCAGTTGATGCCTCACTTAGATGGCTGCTTGTTTGAAGACAAGGTTTTTAAGACCCCAGATACTATTCTTCCTGAGAGCCAGACACCATCTAGTTTCTTCACCACACTTTGCTATAGCGTCCATATCTTCAGGGACCACTTCATGAAGGTGAGTATCATATATAGGGCCATGTCATAAGAACTAATTAATTGTTCTTAAATCAGGGCTAGAATTAAGTGCGAGCTCAAATCCTTTCATTTATCTATGCTTTATATATGTCTTTGGTTCACATTTAAAAAAAAAACTATTTTCTGGTTTAGAAATATCATTTTGTGACAGAGAACATTGAACATCACCCCCTGAGGCATAAAATGATTCTATTGATAGCATCATTAATTTAGGAATTGCTATAGAATTTAAAACTGCTGAGAAAAAGCAATTACACATATATGTAGGATGACTTTTCAGACCACAGTACATGAATTCTTGAGTTATATAAATCAAACTCTTAAGTGACTGGACACTGTTTACACAAACAATGGGGTTAGCGATAGGGCTAAACTTTCAGTAGTGCTCATTCACAGAGACAGAACCATGCCTCCCAGACTAATATGTGTGCTAAGAAAGCAAAGAGGGCATTAAAATAGTAAATATATGGTAGTCCTGGGCCACCATTCATTGGACGCCCATAAAGCAAGAGATCTGAACTAAAGTCTTAACAACCACAAATTCCAAGACTGCTATACTTTGGAGTAGCAGTCACCTGCTTCTTCTCACACTTGGACATTTCAGCCTTAAGTCTAAGGAACTATGTCATTTCCTTAAATCTGCTACAGGTGAGTTTCAGGTAAAGCCCAGTTTTATCAGTGGGGTAACCGTATTGAGTTCTGTATGGCCTATGAAGGATGCCATGCATCTCAGAAAGACAGCCTAAAATTCCAGTATCCTATAGCACAAGGCCTGGCTGACCAAAGGCTTGATAGAAACTAGGTCAAAAGTCTCCACTTAGGAACATAATACTGGGCATATTGGGTTCCATATAGGTATTGTTACTTTTTTTTGCTGATGGTAAGTTGTGTCACCTGGTTCACCCACCAGCAGAAAGAAGTGTAATCTTCTCTGGGACACACATAGCTCCCGCCCCTCATCTTGACTTGAATTTCACTGATCTTGTAACACTGTCTGTTAATTTGGAGTAACCTTATCATATATGTCACCAACTGAATGCGCTTCTCCCTCTTCCCTGTCTTGGATAACTGACCCCCGCTGAGGTGGGGTCTCCTGCGTCAAAGGAGTTCTTAAGTTGTACATATACAGGGTGTGTGTGTGCTATATGGTGCATATGCACGAGGCAGGCTCTGTACTTCATTGTTTGGCAGACTGGATTGGGAGGTGGAAGATTATGTGCCCTGAGAGCAGACGCACTGACTTGCCTTACTGTTGGTGTCTGTCCTTATAGGCGTGAACTCATACACTATTTGTCCTTTTGTGATTGACTCACTTCACTCAGCACAATGGTTTCCAGGTCCATCCATGCTATGCAGTGTTTCGTGATTTCATTGCTGTAGTTCAGGGATGCACACTACTCCACTGTGTGTACGTAGCATCGTTTCTTTAAGCATTCTTTACTGATGACCATTTGGGCTGTGTCCTTCAAGAAAATCTAGCAAGATTACCCTGTTGGGATCCCCAAAACAATCACCATAACCTTTTGAGCTGATTTCTCTGCCTTGAATTGAACGGGCCCAGCAAATCCCCTCAGAGGCACTGTTTTCAATGGGCCTTTTTGAAAGCACCCCACTGAGATGAAGACAAGTATATTACTGCTGCCAGCCCCTGGTTGCAGAGACGTGTTTAGACATGTTTTGTTTGGAATAAACTCATGCATATGTGAACTG